AGGGTTATTTACCATCCTGATTACAATTATGACACTCATTCTTGGCGCTGGCGCCAAGGGATGACACTACGATTACCTCTTGGGCTCAGCCTTAGCGGAGCGCAGATAATCGTAGTGTCATCCATTAGCGCCAGCGGCAAGAGTGAATGTCATATTCGTAATCAGGATGTTAAACTACCCCTACATACAAGTTTTTAGCGGATTTGGTAACTTAGGCTATGCAGGAACGCGGAGTCGGCAGATTCTGCATTTCTCCCAATTCCGCACGACGGCAGGAACCAATCGATCGATCCTAAACCTAATAACCTAAACCTAATATGTTAAAGCAGCAGACTCATATCACACAAGAAAAAGCGGAAAATAATAAAAGAATATAACAAAATAAACACGAACGATAGCAAGCCAGCCGAAATCAGCTGATTAAAGGCCGAGGTACCGGGGGAGGGATTCTGGGCAGGAGGACCCACAGCCGCAAGGTGGTTGCAGGTGGTTTGATTGGAGCGCGGATTTTCAGGAAAGTGGGGTGTCTTTAAAGGGCCATAACTTCCTTAATAGCGGACCTGTGGGAAAGGAAAGAACGCAGTCGTATAGAGAAAGATTTGAGCTTTCCAAAACATACTGACATGTTCATAAAGGTCGCCAAATTCATAGAGAAAAATTTGCGTTGGGGAGTTTTTTTTGGATAGTTTGCAGCGCGAGTTTTACAGGTTTGAACCAAGATATTTCCCTTGAACCTCAATAGTTTGGGAATCTGAAACTACTGTCGAGTTCTAGAAGATTTGCTCTTTCCAAAAACTACTTGAACGTTTTTGAAGCTCCCGGGAGTCATGAGATAATTGCGTTGGGGATTATTTGGGGAACACTCCGAACTGTTCGAAAGTCCGTTTTCTGTGTACGGTTTCAAGCGAGCGTGTTCGAATAGCCAGAAATACATGTAGAACGTATCCTGTGGTGGAGCAGGAGCAGGATGTGGTTTGTTTAGCGCCAATCATGCTAACTTTGGATGCGCCGCGCATTGAGGTCCGCGCAGAGGTGATGGGATGGTGCAACTTGTGCGTAATGTCTGTCCACGCGAGCAAATGTGTCTATAGGATTCAGGGAGGTCCATGGCGAACCTGTGCACTTGTTTACAGTGTTTTCCGTTGCGTATGATGGAGCGTGTCCCTGTCGACGCCGCCAGATTCGTGCTCCGCCAATTGCTGATTCCGATGAAGGAGACCAACTGCTGGAAAACGTCTGATACGAACGATATGGTAGTCCTGTCGTTT